GGTGTGCTTGGGGTGGGTGGGGACAGGTAGCAGCGCTAGGAAGGGGACTATGGGGGGGCTATGGGGAGATTTTTGGAGTGGAGTAGCCGAGCCTGTAGCCCTCTCCCAGCATCCCCATGTACCCCACCAAAACCCAACCCGAGTCCAGAGCCCCTGCCCAGAAGAGGTCAACACATTCCCTGGCCCCAAGCCTGCAGCGGACAGCCTGCCCTCACCCTGTACATAAATCCAGGGAGTATGTACCCCCATGCCTTCCCCTGAGGGTATGCGCAGCAGTGGGGAGCCGCCCTCCTTCCCCAGCCCCCTGTGCCCCTTGAACGAGCCCCCCACAGCTCCATCCCCTACCCTATTCCCTCCCTCACCATGGGGGCCTCAATCTGCTGTATCCTCCCTCTCCTATCCCCCACAGACTTACCAGCCATATGCTGCTCTCCAAGCTGCTGGGCTGCATTCCTGGCTGTGTGCATGCTGCAGCTGGGTGCACGTGTGCAGCATTTATCGGTGACATTATCGGCTACGCTGGCCAAAAAAAGCCAATTGCCAATTATGGCAATTTTCCTTTTATCGGTGCTGATCTGATATGTACCAGTGTATTGGTGCACCTCTACTGAAATGGCAACTTTCTATATGCAGCTTTACATCTTATAACCTTATCAGTTCTTGCAGGACTTTAGAGGATGCTGTTAAGCTTGACTTGAGCAAGAAGCAAGGTGATGGCTAGAATAATCAAACTTCTAAGTTGCTACAGTTGGACAACAGTTAAGAGTAAAATTTCACAAACAATGAAAACTTACCACCTTCAGTTTTTTGACAAGAAGTCTTGAGGGGCTGTGTGTGCTGTTGATAGGCAGAGTTCCTGTTTCTGCTTTCAAGAGGAGCTATGATAGCCCAGTTAAAATACTGGCATCTTTCCCAGAATTTATCTACTTGAAATATTTGACAACTCAGTTAAGGATGCATTCTTTTACTTATGAAACTATTAAAGTTTAAAATATTTATGTACCAATATAAATAATGAAAAAAACAAGGTGATCTTCCTGCATGAATTGCATCATGACTTACCAGGATTAGTCACTAATAAACCTGAATAGATGCTTTCAGGAGCAGTAAGCTGTATTCACTAGTTCTAAGCCAGTGATAATACCTATTTGATTCAAAGTAAAGCTAATGTGCTTTTGGCCAGAGTAGCATGTTTTTAAGTACAGGAAGTGCAGTATTTCTCCAGGAGAGTGCTTCCTATCTAGCAGACATCAGTCTTGGGGAATAAATAAGTCTTTCTTGCCCCAAAACTATATTAGTCATGAAGAATGATCTTGCATTTTCAGGGATCCTCCAGGAATTTAAGGGAAGAGGAGGTGCTTTTCTTCCCAGTTAGAAGAAGAAGAAAAATCCTTCCAAACAGGCATCTAATACTGGTGTCTATAGAAGCTTCCTAACTTTTTTTTCCTTCCTTGTAGCTGGCTTAGGTGAATTCAGAATTCGAGACTTAAATGATGAAATTAACAAGCTGCTAAGAGAAAAGGGACACTGGGAGGTCAGGATAAAGGAGTTGGGAGGTCCTGATTATGCTGTAAGTACAAAAGAATAAATCATGTTGACAAACAGAGCAGCAGTTAACTGAGTCACTAGTAAAGTGATAGCTCTTCATCTCAAAATAAGAAAGCTTAATCTAATGAATGCTGGACTAGTGCTTTTTAGTGCATATAAAAGAGATGAATTAATACATTTGATTATATTTTTTAGTGATTAGAATGTCAATAGTTGAATCTTATTCAGCCCTCTAGAACAGGTTGAATCGTATGTTAGAACAAATATTTATGTCTTGTTTTTTCTATCCTGACCAGGGTCAGAAAATGACTCCTTAATTTGCTAAGGGCTTTAGAAGATAAAATTAAGTATTTTTCTGTTGACCATCCTTTCAGACTTTGAAAATTTATCTGCCCCTCTGTGGTTCCTCTCTTCTGCACCCCTTTAGTCTATGAAAGGTTTTACTCAAGTACTTTGTTCTCTGCTCATTGTGGAAAATACAAAACACAAGCATTTGATATTTTTAGTTGCTCTGAGCCAAAATATGTTGGATGCTGAAATTTCTATTGTATATTTTTATCAGGTACTTACTAATTCCATTTTTAATACTTGATCTGTGTTGGGTTCCACATAGTGACCCTGTGTATAGTAGGGGTGCTCAGCCCTTAGCCTGCAGGCCAAATCTGTCTCATGGAGCCATGACATCTGGTCCACAGGGATTCCCACAACTTGGAAAACTTGGCAGTGGGCAATGATGGAAGCTCCATGCAGCTGGTTCCAGCCTCGCCTGGGGCATTGTGCATCTAGCAGGATCAGGGATGGGCCCACCTCCCACATGTGTACAGATTTGAGGCTATCCTGCTTCCCCTTCCCAGGCTAGATGGATTGGGCTGTGCAACCCCTTGCAGGTCAATCGGACCCATTGACCATTTCTGGCCCATAGAGGGATCTGGCCCATGGGGTGAAAAGGTTGGGCACCACTGGCTTATAATATAGTATTTTAATCCAGTTTTTGTCCCAAAACCATGATGTTCAGTATGAAGAGATGACAAGGTGTATCTGCTATGGGACTTAATACTACATGACTGTCACATGACTGATTGATACTCAGTGGGTGCATCTACACAAGATGCTACATCACCATAGCAATAAGCTACAGTGACATAGTGTTGGCATCACAGTTCGTGCTGGCCAATGCTACTGCGCATTAGCAACGAAGTAAGTAGCTTGTTGTTACTGCGCAGTACGGTTGGAAATGGCCCGTGCACTGCTGGGACTGCACAGTAATGGCAGTTACTGCACAGTCAGGCGCACGTGTTGATGTGCCCAGCAAGAAGGACAGTAGTAATACAAAGGCATGCGTGATGTTAGTGGCAGTTATGTGCTGAAATATTTGATATAGCTAGAACACAGATTTTTTTTCTCCCACCCCACTATCCTAGAGAATGAAAAATACCAATAAGCATAGGGGGAGAACTGTGAAGGTGACCAGGAGCAACGAATCTTGGGGATTTTTTATTTTTATTTATTTATTTATTTATTTATTTTTCATTTATTCTTTAAGAGAGTTGGTCCAAAAATGCTAGATCATGAAGGAAAAGAAGTTCCAGGAAACAGAGGTTACAAATATTTTGGAGCTGCTAAAGACTTACCAGGTGTCAGAGAACTCTTTGAAAAGGAACGTAAGTAACTTGAGAAGTTTAGAGAATCATTTAAGTATGTTGAAAGCATTTTTTTTTCATTTTGTTTATTTTTCTTGCTAGTGCTTCAGGCTTGTATTATCCTAACTGGTAACTCCTAAGAGTAACTTTATGCAGCATCTCATGTCATGTGACATGTATCTGCTGAAATTGAAGTGAAGCGTCTATGTTAAGCTAGAGACCAGTCAACTTAAACACTTATCAAAGCAAAATTTAAATTTTGTTATTCATTAATGTTTCCTTGACTAAAGAAAAACAACATTTATTTACATGCATAGCTAGAATAGCCTCCTGACTGGGGCTAGATAAATTCAGAGGAAAACAAGTTAACTCTGCCTTTCCATGGTCCAAAAGAGAAAAATTATTTAAAAAAAAAAAAAGTTTCAGTCTATTTTATATGTGCTTCTCGCTATAAACAATTGCCATTTCCCATTGTAGAATTAAGTTTGACCCTAACATTATAAAATAGTAATTAACAATCCATTTTAATCTTAGTGAGAACTAGTTTAATTGTATATATTGCTATCCAGTTAACTGTTCAGTGATCTTTATATCCTTGACTGTTGAAGCAGCAGGTAGTTGAGGGATGTTGCTGTGCTTTTAAGACCTTTTGACCCCAGACTGGCCTTAGCTAGTCTATTGTGTAAGTTTTACATAAGTCAGGAGGTAGTTGGGCTTAAAAGCTGAAATATAGAACCACCCCAGAGCCTCCTTACCCTGAATCCCTCAGAAGTATTACTCCTAAGCTATGGGAAGGACCTCTGTCTATTCGGAGATATTGTTAGCCCCCCCTGAAATCCTTGAGAGAGAATTACTTTTATAAGAGCACTTATGATGGCATATAGCTGGCATCAGTTTAAAATAAAGTGCTAGAAAGGGGGAAGTTGGTGCAAGTGTGAGGTGGTGAGAGTGGTGGCTAGAGAATAGGCAGGCACTTTGAATGTAGCCTCGAGAAGAATGTAAAGAGTTCTTTGACTACTAGTGATAGTTGTTTGTCTGTTTTGGTTAATTTGATCTGCTTTGATGGACTAGTACTGTGGGGCTGATTTATGGTTCACATGTGCATGACCAGCTATTAAGATTTGGAGCATCATTTTCTTTTGGATGACTGAGTAATGTTCTTTCAGCTCTCCCTCCTCCAAGGAAGACTCGAGCTGAGCTTATGAAAGCAATTGATGCAGAATATTATGGCTACAGGGATGAAGATGATGGTGTCTTGGAGCCACTAGAACAGGAACATGAAAAGGAAGGTATGAGAGATCACTTGATGTACATTATAAAGCAGCAGTTTTTAGCTTTAAGGCTTGCTGGTGTTTGTCTGGTTTCACATAGGTTCTGGTAATCTGACTTGGAAAGAAGTAATTCTGGATTACTGCCTTGTTGGCAACACTGACATGTTGGCAATGGAAATCTTTGCTGCAGATGGAAGAACTGTGTAAGCAGTTTTTGAGATTTTGATAACTTTCTTTGAAATGCTTACAATTATCACCTGTGGTACACTCTCGGGTAGGTTTTTGTCCTATTTAACCGTTATGTTTCATGTGAAGAGCGAGTAAAGGAGGCTGTCATCTTTCTGTCCCTTCAGAATGAGATTCCACCAAAATAGAATCTTTTTCAGCTAGCTGTGACTTATTTTATTTTTTAACTAGAAAACAAAATCCTTGGAAATTTAGTTTCCTTTCATTTGAGGAGGAGAATCGTTCACTCTTTCCTTCTCTTAAACATGTGGTGTCTTTTTTGTGTAGTAGAACAAACAGTTGTCTAAAATGTAATACTGGAGCTTAGTATGCAAGTAGTGAAGTTGGATTGTGCAAGGGGATAGGACACACAGGACTAGGAACAGACTGTCATACTGTGAACTGTTCCAGGCACTCAAGCACACTTTGGGCAAGTTAGCTTTGTACCTTGGTTTCCAAGTAGTCAACAATAGGGGTGCTGGACAACTGCTTTTCTGAGAGACTTGAGATACTGAAAAGAGCTGTTAGTCCTGCATACTCATATTACTATTTTTGTTTAAGGAAACAATTTTTCTGAATCTGACCTAAAAGTAACCTCTGGGAGTGTACTTGGATAGGACTGGTAAATTACTTTTGATCCAGAATGGTGCACAGAGTAGAAACAACTTGTCTTCCCTATCAGCTGACTCCAGTTAAACTAAGTACTTCAAGCTCTCAACTGTGTCTAGTCACAAGGATGGGGTGAAATTAATAATGTATTGCTTTCATAATATTTGCATTTAAAACACGAAAAAGGAAATAACTAAGCTATTGTAATTTTTTTTCTTTTGAAAATCTATCATTGGTAATGAAATGCTGCTTTTCAGCAAGGTTCTCTGCACTAGGATTTTGGTATTATAGGAGGGGGAATTAGGCTGACTTGAATTTGTTCAACTACAGTAAAAGCCTGGGACTCTCCTCTCAAATTTCTGTGAACCTGGGGTTAGTATAATTCAGCTTCCTCTTGTCTGCTGGGAAGAATGTGGGGAGTCTGTAAGTCGGTAACAATAAAGCTAGTCAATTTGAGTGGGGTATAGCAATATTTGGAATGGTGGTATTAGCAAGATGCTGGGCACAGACAGCAGAAGATGGCAGCTTGCAATGGAATCAAAAAAGGCTGAGCAGAAGCACTTTGCAGGAAGGGGGCTGGACTTTTCCCATTGCTCTCTCGACAAACATGAGAGCTAGGTACCTGTTGAAACAGGAAGAGGTGAAATGTTAGGCAGATGGCCTTGTAATCAGTCTGGGCTCTGTGGTGAGGTACCACCTTCCCATCTGGCTGTTGTTCTACCAAAACCTGGTCTCTATTTCCCTATCTTCAGGAGTTTCAGTAACTCAACCAGCACCCTCTCTGCATGAGACTTTTGGGCTAGTTTTGTTAACATAAAGGATTCAAGTTCTGGGATGCTGTTGTCTTAACCTTAGAATTTGTACTTCCAAGCTTACTGCAAAACCATATATTGGTGGTTCAGGGATATGTAGTCACATGAGGAAGGCTTTTTTACTGGGTGGTTAAATAATTCATTACTCAAGATTTGGCCAGCTCAGAAAGGTCTTGATTAGACTTTTTAACCTTTTGTGTGCGCCTTAAAAGACTCTATAAGAACCTAGAATTGTTGGGTTTGGAACTTCAAATATATTAAGGAGAAATGTGAAAGAAGAACTGTCCCAAAACAAAAGGATTTATTTTTTTTTTTTCTATTGCATCTTTAATAGGGCAAAAAAGATTACATGCCTTATTTTCTTGTAAGGGAATTTCAGAGGTCTCCTATTGTATTTTGTGTGACAGTCTCCTAGACTTGTTCATGGGAGATTGAGTTGACATATTCTAAAATACTTTATTTCACAGCTTTCCACACTAGCAGCACTTCTTTTACCAGTTGCCTCACCATCCCACATCAAAAAAATATGCCGGTGGTCATTAGAGTTGCTGTCTTAAATGAATAAAAGAGGCTAATAAATCCCCACTTGCTCTCAAAGATAAAGAATTTCTGGTTTCTGACTTGCAATTCTTACCACAGCACAGGGAAGCTATGGTGCATGCAAGGGACTTTTCAGAAACTTTGTTGTCTTTTGCTATAAGACTGATTACCCTTGCTCAGTTAAGAAGGGCTATGACACCGAATCCGCTAATAGTCATTGACAGGGCCATCCTGGGGGTGGGGGTGGATTGGGGCAACTGCCCTGGGCCCCGTGCTTTGGGGGGCACGGCGGAGCAGTTGCTCCGCAGCCAGCTGCTCGCTGCCCCCTGTCCTTCTCTGGTGGCGGCAGCTTCTTCAGGTCTGGGATTGGAGTGGGGGCGGAGCCCTGCATGGGCTGATTTGCCCCAGGCCCTGCACCCTTCTCTTGCTGTCTTTGATCATTGCAGGCTTGTTTGAGATTTAGGTGTGGACTCTTAACTTCAAGTCTGAAATACTGGGTGAAAGAAAGCTTAGCAATAGTTGCATTATCTTATACTAGGGTTAATGAAGGTTGTAAACATTTTTAGGTGCCTTTGCCCCAGGTGCAATGACACATCAACACTTCTGAGCATTTTAAGTCTTACAGTTAGTTCTAGTTAACTTGAATCACTTGGTATGGGCTGTAAAGTAGGAAGCAATGATGCAAAGAGGCAAGGAGTATATGGCTAACCATACAGTGGTTGCTCAGGTTAAAAAGCTGTATTCAGCAGGTCTTTATTACCAGAAACCCGTCTTCCCGTGTCCGTTTACACTACAAATACCTCTGTAGCATGGGAACTGTTTAGAGCAATGGTCCCTTGACATGGCCACAGCAGAGCTCTAGAGTGTAATCTAACTATATTCTCTATAGAGGTGTACCAATACATCAGTCCATATTGCATCGGTGCTGATAAATGCCGCTTGAATGCACGCAGCCAGGAATGCAGCCTGGCAACTTGAGGAGCAGCATCTGGCCAGTAAGTGTGCAGGGGAGGCAGATAGAGGCCCCTGTGGTAAGGGTGGGGCTGCGGTAGGGGAAGGGGCAGCGGCAGACGCTGC